CCCCTTTGGCTCTCCATCATTTTTATTAGTTGTTGGTTGAGTTTTTTTTTTGTTTTCTTTCTCCGTTTCCCCTTCTCTGAGCTGTCTCTGTATTGTTGATATCTTGCTGACATTTTCTGAATTGATTAGCGTTCAAGAAACTACACTATTTACACACTTTGGAATACTGTTATCTCTCAGGCTGATTAAGCTTCATCTGTCTCTTTATGAAACCCCCATAGTGACAAGTTTTTCATTGCCATTTCATTCAGCCAGCAGAGATCAAATGTGCTGCCCACTTGGTGGTCACATACAGGTACCCCTACATGCATGTAGGTTCTTTCTGGTAGACATGACTTAGCCTGAGTTACTGAGGAATTCATTCAGCTCCAGTGTCATTCACAAGTGTTCCTTATCTATCTGCATTGCTGTATTTTCCAGTTTATTAATGAAGAAATTAATTATTTTCCTCTCCAGCCATAACATCATTCATGTCCTCAAACCTGACATGTTGAAATTTATCTTGGTTTCTAGTATTTCAGCCAATGCAGAGACCACAGGCAAGTACTTACATCCAGGCAAGGCTGAGTCAATCTTTCAATCAAGATTTTACGAGACTATCAAATGTTTCACTAAAATATAGTTTTATTTGCCCAGAACCCAACATAACTATTTTAAAATTCCTGGCCAGGCAATTGGAAGTTGGAGTAGCTGGTCACAAGAGTGTCAATACCTCTTATGGAGGTCTTCTGCTAGTTTAGAGCCAAAAGTAATGCTTTTAAGCTAGCTTTCCTCCCTGCTAAAACACTCTGAGCTCCAACTGCTGTGTTAGCACACCAAAGTTTAGTCATAGAGGAAAATCTGAGCATATCTCCTTGACAGGGCAGATGCACCATTGCTCCCTTGATACACAGATGTAAAGCCAAAGTGAGCCTAGACACCACACTAACCTTGTTTGTCTCCTGCTGTGTATTATCTAAGTCAGCTTGTCTCTTGGTTGCTCTGCTACAGGAACCTGACTTCAAGACACCGAAGGAGTTGATGTCCACCTGTGTGGATATACCCCTAAAGCACCTGTGGGTTGCTTGGGGTCATCTTAGCCCAGTACAAAGGAAAATAGGAACTGGAAAAAGAGAACTCCAAGACCTGAAGCTACTACACACCAACTTGTCATCACCTGACTTAATAGTTAACAGTATTGTTGGATTTAAGAGAGAACATAAGGAATGCATTTGTCTGGAATTACTTATCACTTCGAAGCTGAGGCTCACAAGATATGAACAACTTTAACAGGTCTGACTGGAAGTCGATGCCAAATAACCTCCTATCTGCAACAGTAGCAAGAGCCCAGGAAAGAGTACAAATGTAGGTCAGCTCTACAGTGATGCTTCCCTAAAATGCTTGCCCAACCTACAGTGGTTTCTGGCTCTGCCGCTTTCTGAACCAGACATGGAGCCTTTCTGTTTAATACAAAACCCAGATGGATTTTAAAAACCTCCAATGAGTTTTTCTTTCATGAATGTATCCAGTAAACTTTTAGCACTCCCTGTATCCTGTGGCAAGGAATTCCACAAGATGACTAAGCATGGTGTCGAGAAGGATTGCTCCTTTTTGGTTTAAACTGCCAGCTACCAGCTTCATTTCATGCTTCTGAGTTTTGTGTTAGAAGGAAAAAACAGTGAACAGCTGCTTGCTATTCTATCCTTGTCATTCATAATTCCTGAGAACTCCATCATATCCTCTCAGTCATCATCTTTTCTGGCTGAAGAAACCTAGTCTATTTAATCGTTCTCACACTGAAGCCTTAGTCTTTAATTATCCTTGGCGCCATGCTCCAAGACTCTTCCAGTTTGACTAGTTCCTTCAGGAGCTGGAAGATTTCAGGTATTTCAGGTGGAGATGCACAAAAGATTTATCAAATATCACTTTTTTTTTAAATATTGTCAATTTTTTTGTTGTAATTTCTAACATTTACTTTGCTTTATGAGAGATACAACTTGAATCTATTTCATAGTACAAAAACTTTTGTGCATTTCTGTTATAGCTTTAAATCTCCTCAACGATTAGAGTTAGTTTAGACTATAACAGAGTTAAAGTTTAGATTAGATGATTTCCAGGACCCTCCTCCCACATGTACATCCCTTGACATTTATCTACCCTGAATTTTACCTGATGTTTTATCACTCAACCATGTACTTGCAGATGGATTTTTGGCATCTCATCACAGCCAGCCTTCATCTTCAGCTCCTGAATAATTTGGTACTGCCAGCAGCATGTTCTCACCAGTCTGGCTCCATTCTCATATTATGACTTCTATTTTTCCTAGGATTGATATTAGATCCCAATCTATCTGTCAAGCGGAGTGACCCATACAGATCTATAGCATTGCTGACTGCTGAAATGCCTTGGAAAGGATCTTTCCCTGCTAGGATGAATGATGTGGGAAGAGCAGCAGAAAGAAATTTCCTCTTATTCCTGGAAATAAATGACAATTGTTCTTAAAGTCTGCAGACGTCTGGCTATTACATCATCTGAGCCTCTGGTGTTTCTAGCTAACAATCACTAACAAAGGAGATGCATTTCCTTCAAGGAATTTCACCAGTTACACATCTGATTTTAATTCTTGTTGGGTCAAAACAAGAATAGGAATAAGTGACATTTTCAGTTTATGTTTACTTTTTCCCAGACCACAAAACCTCCATTGACTATGAAACTTAAATTTACTGCATAACAAATGCCTACTTTCGTCATAAGTTAATAAAGTTGTTTCATAAATAACAGCACGAGAAGCTACAAATGCCAGCTTAAGGAAAAGAAAATACAAGCAGCATCCAGTTTTAATCTGATTCTTTATTAAATATTTATCACTGTATCTGAGAACTGAAGAAATTTTCTTCTCCCCAGTTGATCATTCTGAGATGTTGAAGGTGGCAGAGATGTCAAAAGGGATATCTTGTGCCTCCTGGGAGTCATAAATTCCATGTTGAGACTGCAATTTGGTTCTTTGCTCCTATTTCCCAATCCCTGAGACAGGGAGGATGTTTCTTTGCTCACTTACATGGGAGAAAGTGTTAATTTAGAAAGTGCAGTGGGAAACATAGAAACCCGGCTCAGCTGTAGCCTTATCCTGGCTTGGTAGCTATAAATAAAATGAGCCAGGAGGAAATCCTTGGCTCTGGGTGGCAGTCTGCAGCCCCATAGCATCTGAGCCACAGGGACAGTCCCTGAGATCCAGGCACTGCTCAGACTCATGTTTCCACTCACCCCACCCTGTGCATCAATCATGGTAGGTTTTCTTGATGGGCAGAAACCCTAGCTGAGCAAATATGCATGTTGGGCCAGGAAAGGGAATAAAATGCAATGTTGATTACTATCTAAATATTACCCCCTTTGAAGTGAGCAGGTCTGTGTTTGGGGAGGATTGAATACTCTTTTCTCACAGTTTGAGGCACATCATGAGTTATTTTGTGTTCTTGCTGCTGTGAACATTATTTCATTACAGCCTATTGCAAAGGGCTAAATAAGGTGAAGGGCAGGGGAAGGTGTTAGGATACAGACGCCCTATGGTCAACAGCTTGCTGTCCAGTTGAAACATGCCTATGCTAGAGCACAACACGGCCATGAGCTGTCTTCCAGTACAACTGTTTGATGTGGAGGGCAGGAAGGACAGGCTGCCTCACTGTCCCATTCTGCACTGCCCGTCTCCAGGCAGCACCACAGGGGTCATAGAATCGTAGAATCATAGAATCATAGACTAGGGTGGGATAACTGTTCAGGGAAAAATCTGTCTGCAGGCACCATGCTTTGTTGCTCCTTTATTGAGTTTGAGAAGCTGAGATCTGAGCTTTATTCCAGACTGAGAAGTCTTTATTCCTTTCTTTCCTCACTCTCCATCGAACAAAGAGTAAAGTAATAAAGGACCACACAACGAATCTGGTCAATGTTGTATTCAATCTCTGCTGCACAATGCACTGTGTCCTGTACTTAAGTGGTGAATTTTGGAGGTAAACCACCCTTTTTCTACCATTTACTCAAATCCTCTTCTTTTTCCCTAAGAATCTGTTAGAGGGTAAAGTCAGTGGGTGTCGGTGTCATTCAGGATCAGGCTGGACAAGCAGGGAACTTCTATGTCAGTGCTTTTCAGGGTTTTACCACATTTGGATGTAGTGTAGAATCAGGGATCTGGGATGAATTGTTCTTTCACATCTTCTTTTTGTGCCACTGAGATATAAATGAGAAAGCATCAGCTTGCAGTACCTTCACAGACGTGTTAAGTAATACACAATAGAGGTCCTTTCAGCAAACTGTCAGAAGGAAAAGACTTCACCGGGAGCAGGAAAGGATAGGTTGCCCCTCTCCTGAATTTGGTAGATTGGGTTTTACATCTGCTCCCCAACTTATTACAACCTCATTTATCTGCTTCATCCTCATTTCCTGTCCTTACTTTGCTGCAAACAGTGGCTGTGATAAGGCACACATAAGCATAAGGGTCTTCAGCCTCTCCAGGGGCACTGAAACTGCAATAATGCTAGTGCTGAGGAAAGTTTCTGAGAGTTTAAGGGTTCTGGCAGGGACTGTAACAGAAAGGAGAGAAGCTTTCAGCTCATGAAGGGACCATTTTCTTAACCACAGATAAATCACATATTTGGCATTTTCAGAGTTGCCACCCTTTAGAGGGAACAACATATGACTGGCTGTGTCATGATCAAGTGTAATGGAGAGCAAAAGGAAGATAATGGACATATCTATGGCTCTAAGCCTGCAGTAAGCATTTCCATGCCATGCTGAAGACTTGGGCTGCTATGCCCTCAGGAGAGCTAATGAAAGATATGTTTTTTATGACCTGAGATAATTTTTGTTTGAATATGAAAATCCAGAGATAAAAAGGTCTTTCTTTACAAATGTTGGAGCAGACAGGATGCAAACTCAGTCCCCAAGCAAAAAAAGATTTCTGTACTAGGGTGGGAGCTGAGTGAAAAGTCAGCGTTACTGGTTGTGTTATTGGGAATGTTCAACCACACCTTGCCCATGATGCTTCTGACTTCTTCTGCACTCTTTGCCACTGTGAGCTTGGGAATTATGCTTGCATAAACCAATAGAAAGGTCATAAATTAAGTAGAAACCTACTTTTCACCTATCCTGTACAAACTTCATCCTCAGCCATCTCTTCAAAAGACCTTCTGGGGTGGCCCACACAACTTGAATTGTTATAGGGCACAGATTCAGCAGTCAGGGAGAGGAGTGCTGCACTGCCAGCTCCCTGTGCACAAACAGTGATAAGACACTCCATGTTCTCCCAGCTGTCCAGGTTGGCAAAGGCCTGAAGCCTTCTGGGCTCATAAATGGTGCTATATCTATAGCATGTACAAAGAAGTGCACCCACTGATTCTGTTTTGGGGCATTTAAACAGAAGTCATGTTTTTAAAGCTTTTTGTCAGAAAAATGATCTAAAGGAGGTTCCTTATACCAATGAAACTAATGAAACTCCATAACAGGAGCCTTCCTCAATTATTCCTACATACTGGGACAACAAATGTGTCTTGCTGGGAGCCTTGTCACTTCTTTCCATGTAGAAATAAGGAAAAGGTTGAGAACTGAGGTTGTGAATCCCTGCTGTACCCCTCTAAAGTAATAATAGCAGCATCAGTAATAGCTCTTAAATCAGGAGGACTTACTGCAGCTTTATCCCATGGGGCTTGCATGACAGCATTTAGCGTTCACGGGAATGACATGTTCCCAGCAAGAACATTCTCATTTGCATTATGGCAGGACTTGGAGACCTAAGTTAGATTTTAAGTGTTCAGCAAACCTGATGTGACAACATAGTCCTTGTTTCCATAGTGTGTTTAGTTTAAGCTAACCCTTTTCAGAGCCTCCTCCCTGTTCCAAATAAGAAAAGGCATGTGCAACGCGACAGCGAGGAATAAAAGTCAAAAAGCACTTGAACCTTCATTGACTCCAGAATTCCTGTAAGCTCATAGATTTCTCTGCTTTCTAATAAAGGTAATGAGATTTCAGGTTACACCGTTAAATATCAGAATGTGGAATTAACTAACTTTCATATGAGTAACATCATTGTCTGTTTTTTAAAAATAATAAAGTCTGAGTCAAGTTAAAAAAATTGTTATGTTTTTCCATGCAAACTCAAAGCCAAAGCACAGCATTTTATTAACAAATGGGTGAGAAATAAGCTGACACGTGCTATGTTAGCCACAAAGCCAGGGTAAGTCCAAAGTCTATGGAGGAAGATATCATTATCAAACCAAACTACATTCTCCAACTATGGTCTAAACTATTCCATGGGTAATTATTCCTGATTTTAGAAAATGATAAAATCCATGTTCTTATGCAAGTACAGCCTCCAATTTGTAAGGAGTCCAGCATTCAGATCCAAATCCCTCTACAGCAGATAGAAATGACTCATTAACTTCATCTTGGCTTGGATCTGTCAGCTATCTGGAAAACTCCTTAAAACAATGATGTGATTTTACACATGTACGATATACAGAATTAATCTCAGTGTTTTATTTGTATACATGGGTAGGTAAGAGTTGAAAAGTAAGTAAACTGATCTGTTCCCAGGAGACAGAAAAATAAGGAGAAAACTACATCCTAATAGAAATTAACTCTCCTTGTGGGATGGATATTTCAAAACAGAGGACTGACTTAATGCACTTAACGATTTTAGGATCACAGATACCAAAAGAAATAACAGGACTTTACTTTTAATTTAGCTATATACTTTTAAAAATACTTTCCCTAATTATAAAGCAGTTCTTAGGGGTGTGAACTGTGCATATTAGTTATACATAGAGGAAAGATAATGTACTATATTCATTAAAACAACCAGAAAATATTATTCAGCTTAAAGAAATAATTCAATGTGTTTTCTTTGTGTTCATCTTGAAGGTTACTAACAATCATTTTAACTACAGGTAATTATAAGTAAGATTATTTTTTCTAGGTCTTGTGGTTGTTTGGGGTTTTTTAAAATAAAATAGGAAATTAAGATATACATCTTTTACTGCAAGAATTATACCATTAAATATAATAATACTGTACACATTACAGACAACTAAAACTAGGTTTATAATAAAATAAACGCAATAAGTTTCTGCTTTTCATAAATGTGATTTAACATAGAAAAGTGTTTTCACTATTAATGACTTTTTTAAAAAGTATTATGTTGTAATTTTAAAATTGAACAAATATCTGCAACCCTGACAGTAATATAATTCCTTTACTAGTGTTTGCATCACTATAACATACAGGCTGTTAACGTTATTTTGCCAAGAGAACATTTTCTAATGTTCGATTTCTATATCGAAGCTGCTAATGTGTTCTATGATTTACGACTGATGTTGTTTTTCAGATCAGGAGTTCTGTGTTTCAGAGGAATATTTTGCAAATGATGTTATTCTGTTTTTAAATTCCAGTTCAATGTTAATGTATTTTTAAGGAGTAAAGTTAAAGAAATAGATCACATTTTTAAAAAACTATACAGCCTTGTATAGCAGTTTTCATGTACAGCCTAACATTCATCATCAGCTCCCTGCTGTTTTATAACCACTAATGTTATTATTGCCTTCTCTTTTTTCTAGGTAGAAATATTAATGAGATACCATTTCCCTGCTTTTGTAAAACCCTCTCTCATGTTGCTTCCTCAGTGGATAAAAACGCAAAAGTCGGTGAGTGCGAGACCACCACTGAAACCCCACACTCTGCCTTTCGGCTCTGTAAACTCACAAACCAAGCTTTACATTTCACCCTTGTTCCCTGGTTTTCCTTTAAGATGCACTGATTTCAGAAGCAAAAATTCTTCCCATCCCTCACTTTCACCATCAAAGGATCCAACGTGTTACGACTGAGGCAGATCGCAGAAAACCCCACAAACAAACAACCGGGCAAACTGATTAAACACCGACAAAAAAAGTTCTTAGACATCACATTTCCTGAGCTTTTTCCCCTCTCTCGCTGCACTACTTACTTGTAATTACGTCTGGGGCCATTCCTTCCTATTCCACAGGATAAACTGGAATATACTGCTCGACAGTTTTGTCTCTAGCTCTTTAAACACTAGAGACCTCATAAGCAAACAACCCTTTTTTTATGCCTGTTATGAAATTTTAATGATCTTCCAAGGCTCTCAAAATCAAACCAACTTTCTTCCCTCCCCCTGCCCCAACGACTTGGCTTCTTTATACCTTTTGTTTCAGAACTGTGCCCAAACTAAATATACTAAACCAGGAGGGAACTACAGCTTTAAAATAGGGGTTAAAGCGGCCCTTGTTTTCTTGCGTCTCTTCCCATTCCTGGTAAACTGTGGGATTAACTTGGGGAGTGCTGGAAAAAGCAGGTTGGGGACTGGAAACTGGAGCAGAGATGCGGTCTCTGGACAGAAAGTCCTCAAAAGGGGTTTCATGGAGAGGATGAGAGTGCCAGCGCTGGTGTACGCCAAACAGCTTTGTGATGGATGTGTTTATCCTTAAAACTAAGGTCCCATTCAACGCTGCAATAGCCGGGTTCGGGAAGGCGGATGGCAGGAGAAGTGCGCTGGGCAAAGACGGGGTGTGTGTTAAGGCGCCTTGTTTAAGCAGTCCCTGATGTGCCAGCGCAACAGTTTATATTAAAGGTCATCTGTAGACCTTAAGGATCATCGTAAGGGATCGCAAAAGGGCTGTATTTTGCTGGGAGAGAGGACAAATTCTCATTGCAGCCTTCCCCACCTCTGGGCACAGATGAACTCAAAGGACCGCAATGTACTAACAGGGAAGGTATGAGGTGATGATAAATGCTGTAAAATAAGTAAAACGTCTGGTTAGTCCCTGGTGATGGAATGCATTTTCCCAGCTCAGTACTTGCCTAGAGATCATGGGTAGCGCCCTAAATTCTGCCAAATGAGTCTTTGCAGTTGTAGTCAATCCCCTTCACCCAAATACCTCCAATTTCATAGTATCTGTCTCCTCTATAGCACCTCCTGTTCCCAATCCTGCATTGCTCAGACATAGATGGAAATTACAGCCTATCTGAACATTCCCTAACTTATGCCAAGTGCTTTTAGCCAAAGCAGCCATTTGAAGAACTGGCTGGGAATCCTTAAAATGCTGTTTTGTACCCCTGGGACACAGCAAACCAGTCATTACGAGCAGGGTTAGCAGGTTGCAGACCAAATTGCTTCACTTCAAAATTGGATGGCTGAAGGGCACCAGCACAAAACGTGACCTGGCTGGAGGCTGGAGATAAATGTGACTGCAACAACCCATGGAGCCCTTTCTGCTTCCAAAGGCAGGTTTTGGAGAAGGGTGATGTGCCATATGGTGTGAGTAATAGAGATGTAAGGAGTGTGGTAGGAATTTCACAGCTTTCAAGAACGTTGTCCCAAAATGAGGAAATCTGACTAAACTGTGCTTGGTTCTAGAGCTAGATGATGTTTGGTGGCTGACCTTTCTCAATTTTATTGTCCTCATCAGTCCATCAGTATATGGATGGGGTAGAAGAGAAGAGGTAGCTATAAGAAAAGTCAAGGGAAAAAAATTGGGATAAGAAGGAGAGGAATTAAAAGTGATAGAATAGGTCATGGGTTGGAGATTGGGAACCTGGGGGATGTTCAAGATGCTCCAGCACATCCCTGTTGACAACAGCTTAGGGAGAGCAAATGCCACATCCCCATTCAGGGCAGAAGGGGCTGCACTTCCAAATTACCCCCAGTCCCCTTCATTTAGCATTTAACCCTCTGCAAGGACATAGTGCACAGCTGAGCTCTGCCTAGGGCTGGCCTGGGAAAGGGGTCTGGGTTAGGATTCGCATACATCAGTAACTCACTCCCACGGCCCTGGGCAGCATTGTTCTCTAAAAGCAGACATATTTCCTTCCAAGTAGCAGACATGGAAAGAAAAACACACAAAAACAAATCATCTCGTCCTTCCTTCCCCGGATGGCGAGAAGCCCGCTCCCGCTTGTCACTGAGGCTTGAGGTGGACGTGATCCCAGTCTGACAGAGAGATGGGGGAATGAAGACGTCTCTTTTCCCTGGAAAATCCACTCCTGAGAATGGCTGACCCTACCAAGTTCTCTCCTCACCCTCTC